AGACAAACCTCCATTTTGCTAGAAGCTTCTGCAGCAGGATTCTTGTAGGATTTTTCCACTGAGACATTACAGCTAGGAAGAAGTCTTTAGCCTGTCTCTTTGGCACCACCTCCTGTTCTCGGTTAAACACTTTCCCCCAACTCCACTTGTGATAACTAATGGAATTAGACAACCGTCTGCTGGGCCAGGACTTCTTTCCCCCAGAATCTAGCCCTCGATTGTAATCACCATTTGAGAAGAGAAAATCATTGTAGACTATTTTTCCACTGTTTCAAATAGCTCAGAGGCAGGGAAGCTGTTATTCCCTCTTTAGCACGGCCCTGCCGCATAGACCTGTTATCCCCTTCCCTCCCTGGCCTGAGCCAATCACCGCCCCGCCCCCCGCCCCTACCTCCCAGCCCCTGCCAGGCTGGGAACAGATGACAGCATCACAGCCTTCTCCAGCATTCCAGGTTGTCTGCTGACCCATAGCCCCCTTCTCCAAAAGCTAATCTGTGCCAACAGAAGCAAAGAAGGAGCTGTGCTCAGAGAGAGTGATGTTCTCTCTACTTCCTCCTCAAAAGACAGAGGAGGAGGGAAGCAGGAGAGATTCTGCAGAATGCCTTCAAAATACTGTTGCTTGTGGAGACCACCATGACATTCTCTGCTTGACGGCTGACACTCCAAGATTTGGACAAGTGAGGTGCCCCCCCCCCCGCCCCCAGCTGTACAAAGGCACTAGCCTGGGAGTCCGGAGGCTTGGGCTATGAGAGCTCCATCCCCATCCACTGTCTGACTTCTCTCTCTCTCATTGAGCCATTGGGCTCCTCTGCTGGCAAATGGGACCAGCACAAAGATCCCCGGTGGTCCAACTCTTTTCCTACAGAGGCAATGTAACGTGGTAAAGCATAAAAACAGAGTCACTCTGGGCAGGGTCTGAGGCCCCGTCCCTTATGGGAAACCAGAACCATCTTCAGGAACACGAGGGTCCCCTCAACATGGTATGGAAAAAGAGAAAGCGACATCTTTTCCTGATGTTATATCCTACAGCTGCAAAATTCTCACCTCAGCAATGAGGGAGCCTCAAACCCCTGCTTTGCTTTGGACAGAACAAGGCTGCCAAGCCCAGGTCAGGGGTGGAGGGGGTTGTTTGAGAGAACGGAGGACAGGCAGGAGGGGGCCAGGCTCAGGCTAGAAAGGGGGGAAATGGTGGCTAGTTTAAAACATGTATTCTGATGACTCTAATGGGAAGAAAACTCTATTTTCCTCTTAGATTTTCAACCACTGTGAAGAAATCAAGGAACAAGTGCCTCATATCCTTCACTGAGGATTGAAGAAAAAGCAGCAGAAGTAAGCCCCAAGCTAAAGCATTCATGTCAGGTATAAGAACTGACTTCCTAACTGGGCTGGTTATTGGGGACTGGAAAATACAAAGAGAAACTTGAGGCCAATCTTTTCTGAAAAACTCTTAGAAAAAGCACAGAAATCCAGGCTTAAGATGAGATTTCAGTCTCATCATATATATATATATATATATATATGTGTGTGTGTGTGTATGTGTATGTGTATATATATATATATATATATATATAAAAAACAATCACTTTTCTGTACTCTAGGGGCTGGCATGACAGAGATGAGAGATTTAAAAGGTCATGACATCACTGAGAGGTGTGAGAGGAAATATTCCTAGGTATTCAAGGATGACCCCACCCTCTACGATGTCTTCAGGGACCACATCAAAGGAGAGATACCAGTAAAAAACAAAAAATCAAGAGAACAAATAATCAACCATTTGGCTTTGACTTTCTAGAAATGCTCTTAAAACTTAAAGCTGAGACAAGAGAGTTCTGATTTGCAAGAAGTAGAGATGTTGTAATTCAAAGACCAAAGGCTGGGAGAAGTAGAACCTACCTCTGAGATTCACGAGACAAGGTGCTAGACCCTGCCCTCACATACCTTCGACGCTCACATACCTTCGACACTCACATCCAGTGCTGATCCAAGTTGAGGCTACCAGAAGAACCATTTCGGGAAGGAGAAGAAAAGGTGGAGGCAGGTGAGCCCCTAAGAAAGCTTCTGCTCACCACTGTTCTCCAACCCAACTCTGGGTCCCAGGCAGGGATGAGGTGCTTGTGAAACCACAGACAGGTGAACAGCCCCAGTGACAAAGAAGACCTGTGCTCTCCTACCAAGTGGAAATTCAATTTGGGGCAAGCTTTGTGGAAATTCAATTCGGGGCAAGCTTTGTGGAAATACCCTCTGCATAAAATAGAAATGGCTGCCAACCAAGCAGATCCAAGGACAGAGGGCTTGAGAGAGCAACCTCACCAGTCTTTCTTGATACTAAAAGATTATGGAAGTATATCCCAAGTTTTCCGTGGCCCTGACCTCCCCCTTGCACCCTCTCCTTCCCCCTCACCCCCGCCCCCCCCACCGCTTCTGAGAGCCTCATGCAAAGAACTGTCAAATCAAAGGAAAAGGTCAGCCCTCCCTCCGCTGTGTGCAGATAAAATGTTATTAAGTTCACTGTTGCATTTCATATCATGACCCCGGGGACTTATCACTGCCTTCACTGCCCATAATATATTCTTAAACCCCAGGTGAACATTGATCAAATCTGTATTAAAGAGTTAAGCATTATACCCTGATAGGGGAGTATAGTCTCCTCCATGAGGATGTTGTTGCATATGTAGTAAGTTAACGACAGCCACCTGGTCTTATCAGCACTTAGTTTCCGCTTCCCCCTCATGCCTGTATAAAAACTCCACAGTAAGTCACAGCCCAGAAAGTGGGTCTTAAACCAAGGAGGACAGAGCCTCAGGCAAAGAACTGTACCCAGTTTGATCGATACCTCAAGTAACAGACTCATCACTGCAAGCTTCCAAGGTGATATTTCTTAGACAAGTGCCAGATGATGTGAGACACAGTGTGGAGTTCCAGAGCTCCTTCCCATGCAGAGGCAGAGGACTTCATAAAAGCAAACCACTGACCCAAGAGCCAGTGGAACAAAAAATAATTACAAACGACTAAAAGAACTGATGAAGGAAATATAATTTGCATTACTTGTTTTGGAATACTGTTGTTAGTACTTTTTTATTGTTGTCATTTCTGATGAGTGTATGAAGCCCCTTCTCATTCTTCCTGATTTATCTCTTACTATTAACCTAGTAGTTCACCTTTTTCAAATATTTTCAAATGAAACACTTTTAAATGGCATTCTTGTTCTCACTGACCTTTCAGGATTCTCGAACAATACTCTTTTCTAAGTCTCTTTGCTGTTTAATGGCAATGCAGTAACTTGCAAAGGTTCAGTAAGAATCTGTTCTGGTTTTTACCAGAACATAATTAAACAAATGCATGGTATAGGCAAGGCCATACCTGGAGTGTCATATTTGAGAGTGAACCTCATTTAATCAGGTGTGACAAGTCTACCATTAAGAAATAAGCACTGGGGTGCCTGGCTGGCTCAGTCAGGAGAGCATACTATTCTTTATCTCTGAGTCGGGGGTTCAAGCCCCATGCTGGGCATAGAGTTTATTTAAAAAAAAGAAGAAGAAAAAGAAAGAAGGAAAGAAACAGGCATTGTACTTCATGTAGAGACTTCCCATGAAACCAGTCTGTTACCTTACCATGGCAAATCAGGAAGCCTGAGCAGATTTGGGGCCCCTGAGGAGAGGTGAATTCACCCCCTTGTAGAGATACCACAGGCAAAATGGTGGAGGTGACTTTCTTGGTTTGGCTTCCTCACCTCCGAATAGAAAAGTAAATAAAACCAGTAAATAATATATCCAGAATAATACAGACTATTGAAACTTCCTCAGATTATTAAGAAATCCCCAGACAGAAGTGAATTTTCTGGGTCTTGTAGTGTCTTCACACCACAGGGCTTTAGGTTTTCAGACGATACTCCAAGGAGGCACATGTACATGAATGAACATTTCTTACTGCAATTATATAAATGAATCAGGCCCAAATACGGGGAGATCAGCTTTTTGCTAATCAAGAGGAATTTATGGGGATTAGCTGTGACCCTAGCACTGGTTTACAAGGTCCTTCCACATTCTCAGCCAGACCTTCCAAAGAGCATCTTAACACAGTATTCCTGTGATCGCCACCAGGAACAAGGCACATTCAAGCATCTTCACCTATGTGCCCTGGAAAAGGCAATACGACCTACAAAGAGGGGAATGCATGAATGCACACACCCTAATCACCCTCTCCCATTACCAAAAGAAAACACCTTAGAAGAGACATGTGTGCACGCGCGCACACACACTCATTCACGCACTGAAACATGCAACATTTTCCGTGGAACAGCAGCTACCACGGAGAAAGCCCAGCCCCACAGAAGGCAGATGCAAACTTCCATCTTGGCTCTCATTAAGGAAGGCTCAAAAGCGGGCCAAAGCCAGAGGGACAGCCTTACTTTCTCCATCAATGAAACATCCAAATAAGGCCAACCTTCCCTGCCCCTCTCAGCCATGGGAGAGAAACAGCCAGCCCTGGAGAGTTTTTCTCCTTCCGTGCGTCCCCTGGCTCCGTGCTGCAATCCGAGCAGAATATATTAATGAAGAAATGCCTTTTGGAGGGTGGAAGACTCTCCACTCTTGTGACCTCTCTGCAGTCTCTGTTTTGAAACGCAGCCTTGAGAAGTTCAAAGGACTTAGAGATTCAAGATCAGGGAGGCCCAAGACGCACCCCAGGGTGGGCCGTGGTCTGAGATGCGAACAAACCTGCCCTTCTCGTGTCACAGCTGACATGACCTCTGAAAGAACCTAGTGCATATCCTGGTCTCATAGAATTATCTTCCAAGACTCTTAGCTCTTCTTTTTCTTTTTAATGATAGCTGAAGGCAGTTCAGTTTCAAGTCCCTACACAAGCTGGAGTACTTGCCACGTCCCTCCGTTTCCCCTCATGTGGGCTCAAACAGCTTTGTTAACCGCCAGCTTCCTAGCATGGGGGGCAGAGCTTGGCCACGTCAGCCTCGCTCCAGGGGGTCTCCTGCAATCCCCACTCACCATTCTTTTCTGTCTTGTGTTTTGGTGGCTCAGGCTCCGGAAGACATGGACAGGGCCCGTCACAGAGGATGGTGAGGCTTTTTCCAGTGGAACAAGCATGGAACTCCAACTTGCACTGCAAAAGAGAGACCAAAGAGGCTTTAAGAATGCAGCTGAGCAAAAGGAAACAGTCAAGGAAACCAAAAGACAACCGACAGAATGGGAGAAGATATTTGCAAATGACATATCAGATAAAGGGCTAGTATCCAAAATCTATAAAGAACTTCTCAAACTCAACACCCAAAGAACAAAGAATCCAATCAAGAAATGGGCAGAAGACATGAACAGACATTTTTCCAAAGAAGACATCCAAATGGCCAACAGACACATGAAAAAGTGCTCCACATCGCTCGGCATCAGGGAAATCCAAATCAAAACCTCGATGAGATACCACCTCACACCCATCAGAATGGCTAAAATTAACAAGTCAGGGAACGACAGATGTGGGCGGGGATGCGGAGAAAGGGGAACCCTCTTACACTGTTGGTGGGAATGCAAGCTGGTGCAACCCCTCTGGAAAACAGTATGGAGGTTCCTCAAACAGTGGAAATTAGAGCTACCCTACGGCCCAGCAAATTGCACTACTGCGTATTTACCCCCAAGATACAAATGTAGGGATCCGAAGGGGTACATGCACCCCGATGTTTAGAGCAGCAATGTCCACAATAGCCAAACTGTGGAAAGAGCCTAGATGTCCATCAACAGATGAATGGATAAAGAAGATGTGGTATACACACACACACACACACACACACACACACACACACACACACAGTGGAATACTATGCAGCCATCAAAAATGAAATCTTGCCATTTGCAATGACGTGGATGGAACTAGAGGATATAATGCTAAGAGAAATAAGTCAATCAGAGAAAGACATGTATCATAGGACCTCACTGATATGAGGGATTCTTAATCTCAGCAAGCAAACTGAGGGTTGCTGGAGTGGTGGGGGATGGGAGGGATGGAGGCTGGGTGGTAGACATTGGGGAGGGTATGTGCTATGGTGAACACTGTGAATTGTGTAAGACTGTTGAATCACAGACCTGTACCTCTGAAACAAATAATACATTATATGTTTAAAAAAATAAAAGAAGATAGTAGGAAGGGAAAAATGAAGGGGGGAAAATCGGAGGGGGAGACAAACCATGAGAGACTATGGGCTCTGAGAAACAAACTGAGGGTTCTAGAGGGGAGGGGGGTGGGGGGATGGGTTAGCCTGGTGATGGGTATTAAGGAGGGCACGTATTGAATGGAGCACTGGGTGTTATACGCAAACAATGAATCATGGAACACATCAAAATAATAAACAAATAATTAATAAATAAATAAATAAATAAATAAATAGGAGGGAATAAAAAAAGAATGAAGCCGAGCAGAGCCCCACATGGCTTCCCTCGGAAGTGGCCACTGCCGCTCCAACCAGGTAGGCTCATGGGAGCAAAGACAGAGAAGGAAGGAGTGCATCTCAGGTCAAGGTCCAAATGGCAGAAAGCTGAATAAGAAATGGCCTTTTATGTCTTTCCAAATGCATAGGGTAACATCTAGGATCACTGCAGAGCACTGTGGTGCTTACTTTAGTCAATGATAAGCGCAACTGTAACTATTAACAGAAGTATTTTTTTTAAAGATTTTATTTATTTATTCATGAGAGACAGAGAGAGAGAGAGAGAGAGAGAGAGAGAGAGAGAGAGAGGCAGAGGGAGAAGAAGGCTCCCCAAGGAGCAGGGAGCCCGACGCAGGATCCGATCCCAGGACCCAGGGATCACGACCCAAACTGAAGGCAGACGCCCAACCATCTGAGCCACCCAGGCACCCTGGTAACAGAAGTATTCACCTGAAACAACATCTCAGAGTCCCAGGGGTCCACAAAGGCCCACCCCACAGCAGAAGGGCACCTCCCCCTGTGTCCTTACTCCTAACATAGGGTGCTTCTGCCCCAGTGCAGTGATCCTAGGCCCTCTCAGCTGCTCACATGCTCTTCCTGGGCATGGAGGCAGAGTAACCACCTGGTTAGGACCCCAGATGGTGTATATGAGGCCCAGCCTCGACCCATCTGGAACAAGCAAGGAGTGACTGCTTTTGCTTCAACTATCCCAAACCTGAGTGCTACCCAGTCGTTCCCCCAGAGGATGCCTGTACGTGTCTCTAGCCTGGGACTGGGTGCAAGCACCCATTTAATTCTCAGATTCAATGGTGAAGTCCAAAAGCCAGCATCTCTTCTCTTCAACCCTGATCAGCCACACTAGTAGTGTTTTGGCCACTTTCTGCCAGTTTCACTCTTTCCACCACTTTTATCATCAAGTCTCAATGGATTCAGAACATGGGCCAGAAAGGATGTTATTTAGAGGTGCAAAAGAGTACAACAATTAACAGTATTTTTAGGATCCTGACATCTAAGGATTAAGAAACAGACTCAGACAAGTTAAATAACCCATGAAATATCATGATGATCATTCAGGGTGGATTCCAAACCATGTCTGAGTGCAGGGCTAGGCACTTGCTGGTCCCACATCACTGGTCCTGCCACGTGGACGGCCTTGAGAGAGCAGACATCCCATACATACCCCAGGTTGCTACTGGCCTGGATCTCAGTTGTCTGACACTTCATTCCTTTTCCAATTACACAATTCTCAGGATCCAGGCCTGCATGTAATCAGCCTGCTGCTAAGGTCCACGGGCCCAGAACCATGTTTGTAGCTGGTGGAGGTTCCAAGGAAGAGGAGACAGGCAAAATTTACCAAGCACCCACTTTGTGTGTGGTTCTTGTCAGGGGCCATGGGGAATCTTTTAAAAAGAAAAAATAGAGATACAGTCCTTGCCCTTGGAAAACACACATGCGTACTTCTGAAAAGCCCACTAGCATTTGCAAAGCAACATGCCTGAGGACAGATGAATACCGGCTCATCGAGAAGGCTGAGCTATTCAGTCCCCGTCCTGATTACAAACCAAGGGCAAGAGTGCTTCAAACCTGGCTCTAAACGTCCTGGAGGCACTCTGGGTAACTCCAGCTGTCCCCCACAAGGTAGCCAGCCTCACGGAGAAAGCACGACAAGACAAACCTACAGGTGATGACTTCCCCTCGATGCAACCGCCTTCTGTACGGACTTATTAGGCGTCTAGTATGTGCCCAGGGTGGCTGGAGGGGTGGTGGGGACTGGAGGCTCTCCTCAGGGCACCTCACGCATGTCCCCTTCCCAGAGCACTTCACTAAGTCCCACCCTCTCTCCCCGAGACTCTTGCTAGGGAAGAACAGTTACAGAGGCCGAAAGGTGGTCACTGCACCAGCCTTCCTTACAGGGGACAGATAACTTCCAAAGTGCAGCACTTCCAGGCCTCCAACCTCAACAGACTTCATGAGGAGGCACAAAAGAGCACATCCCTCTAAAGCCATGTGGCCAGGACTGTGAAGTGGGCAGGAGTCATGTGTATGGAGGGATGTGGCACAAAAAGCCCCACAGGAACGGGATGGGCCTGCTGCCAGCCAGATGGACAGAACGCACGCCAAGAGGAAGCCTGGAAGGGGGCAGGGGGGCTGTCTGTGTAAGAAGCTTCTTCTTAAATCCTGCAGCCTGTATGCATGTGCCCAGGGCTAGAGAGAAGACCACGGTGGCCAGTTCTGCCTCCTTCCTCCGCCCCACTGCTCTGGAACAATCCTGCTTCAGTTCTCAAACTATTTCTCAACAGAATCCCCAAAGCTAACCTAGGGGCAACAATATATTTATATATGAAAATTTATTTTGTAAAGCCAAAACTTAATACAGTATTACTTACTCTAAAGCCTTATCCTACTGTTACTAGAATTGCCTGTTCGGATCTATGACAGACTGTAATACTCTTCCCAGACATTCTCTGGCCTCCCTGAAAGAGGAATCTCTGCTCCGCTCACCGCCCCGGGGCAGGGGGTTGGGGGCGGGGGAGTGGGCTTCCCCTCCCCACGGACATCAGTCCTGGCCACGTGACTTGCACTCTCTGGGGACTGTGAGTAGGCGTGACAGGCCAGGGTTGAGCAGGTCTTTTTTAAGAACCACGGCTTACTTTTATCACCTCTCTTGCCGTTCCCCCTACCATGAATATGACATAAATCACGTAAAGACTGATCCTCTGGCCTGGGGCCCAGAGGGAAGGGCGGAGGGCAAGGACCAGAGCTGCAGCTAACCTGCAGGGAATACACAACATGCACAAGGAGGTAATGGTTGCTGGCTGCTGTAAGCCACTTATGTTTGGGGATCCTCTGCGAGCACAGCATGACTTCCGACTACACCGTGAGGTCCTTATACCTGGAAAAAGTCTAAGTCACTGTCTTATCCCGGGCACACGGTAGGTGTTCAGCAAACAGATGCTCAAGGATACAGGCAGAAGGTGGTGGTGCTCCCCGGGCTCCTCCAGGCCTCTGTTGTGGTCCCCAGCAGCGACCACCCACCCGCACAAGGAATGCAGGTGCTGGAGCTCGGGATGTTCCCAGTGAAGCATCCTTGACCCACACCTGCTGCCTGAGTCTTCTCTGCGAGCTCCACGTCCAGCACTCAGCCTTCCAGCCTCCCGGCTCACCCCCATCCATCGCTGGAGTCGGAATCTTGTCCATCTGCTTCCCAGATGCCTAGAACACTCGTTCCCCTGGGGGGCCTGGCATCGCCTGAGTGTCCCTGTGGACTGTAACTCTAGTAACTCTGCTTCCCTGGTCGGCCCCAGAACCCCCTCTCATGGACAGCTGCTGTGGCAATCTGCGGAGGCAACTGGGCATCCTCCCAGACCCTGGGGAGGTGCCACCAGAGAAAACAAGATTTATCTGCACCAGTGGAAACCCATGTTTCAAGGGCACAGGTCCGCCTTTTTATCTTCCAGGACAGTATGTAGTATGTGGCATTTAAATGAAGCTCAAAGGACTAAAATTCCATTTTTTATAAAGCTCAACACACGCTACTTAGAAATACATATCTATGTGTACATATATATGGGGACTGGTTGACAAATACCAAGACAGGGGCGACCTCTGGGGCAGAGGCAGGAGGATGGCATCAGACAGGAGCCCAGAAAAACACTGTGAAAATGGAAGAGTGGTTTATTTCCCAAAG